TTTGGGGGCATAGATGAATTAGTGCAGGGGTCAGCAACCTTTTACACACCGAGTGCCATTTTTGCAACCATCAGACAACCGAGTGCCATTGAACAATAGTGCACCATGGTATTAGCAAATTTCAGATTTTGTACTCATAGTTGTACTGCTAATAATAAGTTAAACTCACTAATTATTTGAATGTGTTTATCTTGCCGTTAGCAGCACAACTGTAAGTGAAAACATTTTATAACTATTGCACACACAAAATATATTTACATGTACTAAAAAAGTAAACATGTGCTGGGCACAATGCTATTCAACCTGTTTATGAACGATATTGGGGAGGGTGTGAATAGCCATGTTTCAGTGTTTGCTGTGATATTCAGTGATACGAAAATCGGGAGGGTAATAGAAACAGACTTAGACAATATAACCTTACAGGAGGACCTGGATAAAATAGGGGAGTGGGCAACTATATGGCAGGTGAGGTTTAATGTTGATAAATGCAAAGTAATGCACTTTGGGAATAAAAATAGTCAAATGGGCTATACAATTATGGGTATGCCACTAGGGAAGTCAGAAATGGAAAAAGATTTGGGGGTCATTGTAGACCACAGACTGAATAATAGCTTGCAGTGCCAGGCTGCTGTAAGCAAATCAAGTAGAGTCCTGTATTGTGCCACTTTACACATCACTGGTTCGGCCTCATCTGGGGTATGCGGTCCAGTTTTGGTCACCAGTCCCCAGAAAGGATGTACTTAAGCTGGAAAGAGTCCAGCAGAGGGCAACCAAACTCATTAAGGTGATGGAGGACCAGAGCTATGAGACAAGGCTACTAAATTTAAATATGTTCTCGTTGAAAGGAGATTAAGGGGGGACATGATTTTCTATGTACAACATGTTCAATGGTGATAGCAACATTAGCAACAAACTCTTTAGGATAACTCCATAACAAAGACTAGAGGCCACCACCTAAAATTGGTGGAGAAAAAATTTCAGCGCGAAGGGGGTACTTCTCAGTTATAGCGGTTAGGGTCTGGATCTCGCTGCCAGAGGAAGTGATTTCAGCTAAGAGTGTGGAATCGTTCAAGAAACTTTTGGACGATTTCCTGAGGGACCATAATATACAGGGGTACAGGTACTCTTAAGATGAGATGACACAGGGACCTATACATACGCACACATTAGCAGAACCATACACATGCACGCAATAGGTTGGACTTATGTCTTTATTCAACCTCAAATACTATGTAACTATGATGGAGAAAGATTTTGGTGTACTGGTAGACCATAGACTCAACAATAGCATGCAATGTCAAACCGCAGTTTCTAAATCAAGCAAAATACTTTCTTGTATTAAAAGGGGGTATAGACTCCAGAGATAGAGACATAATCCTGCCCCTGTACAACGCATTAGTAAGACCTCACCTGGAATATGCAGTTCAGTTTTGGACACCAGTTCACAAAAAGGATCTTGTGGAACTGGAGAAAGTGCAGTTAAGGGCAACTAAACTCATAAGAGGCATGGAGGAGCTCAGCTATGAGGAAGCTATTAGCTGACCTGAATTTGTTCTCTCTGAAGAGGTGATTAAGGGGGGACATGATCACCATGTATAAATACATAAATGGTCCATATACGGAGATTGGTTTATTTTTCACTTTAAGGTCACTGCAAAGGAAAAGGGAGCACTCCCGGAGGAAAAGAAGTTTAACCCCTCAGTGACAGATGACATACACTGTACGTCCCCGCCACTAACTGCCCAAATGACTGATCATGTACACTGTACGTGATCAGCTATTTGGGGCTCTGTAATGATGGTAACCCCTGAGAATCAGTGGTTACCGTTCATTAATGGATGTCTCAGTATTGAGACATCCATTAATGAGAGTTAAGCTTTTTCAGACACCTGATCCCTTTCAAGAATCGGGTGTCTGACAGTGAGAGCAGAGCGGTGTTTACAGCTTTGCAGTCACTCTTTGACAGCTGGTATAGACCCGGATTAGGAAATCCCGATGTATACCGGCTTTTTTTCTAAAGTTTCGGCAATAGAAGCATTTAGCTACATGTTTCTTTTGCTGAAAGCAAAAAAAAATGCAATACATACATTCATTTATTTGTCCCTTATTTTTATTTTTTTTACACTTTTCACTATTTATTTTTTTTACACTTTTTTTAAACTTAAAAATTTTATTTTATTTATTTAATTATATCAAGCAGTCATTGTGAATTAATCTCACTCTTACTGCTTGATAAATTAATACATTTTTGGTTATTATTAGGCTGCTTCAAACTTCAGAACAGCCGATAATAAGTTAGTGACACTGATCCTGCAGCAGTTCAGGATTCAGCTGTCACTAAAGGTTTTCTGATTGTTGCAACAACGGTCAGCAAACTGAAACATTCTTCTTTCAGGAATAGATACATTGTGTGTCTATTTCTGAAAGTCAAAGATAAAAAAAAAAAAAGCCAGTATAGCTTGAGAGAGATATCTCTCTCGATTTATACGAGCTGTCAGAATGCCGGCAAAAGCCGGCATGTGTGTCCGCTCTGCTGTGACTCTCAGACACCCGATATTAAGGTATCGGGTGTCTGAAAAAGGTTAACCCTTTCATTAATGGATGCCTAGATAGTTAGACAGCGGTTACCAGCCTTCTAGTGCAGCAAATAACTTGTCACATACAGAGTACGTGACGAGTCATTTGGTCCCTTTGTGGCGGGACGTACAGTCTCCCGTCACGAAGGGGTTAAGCACCAGTATATTAAGCGCCAGAGATTGTTGATCCAGGGAATATCCGATTGCCTTATGGGATCAGGAAGGAATTTATTACCCCTGTTGGAGCAAATTGAACTATGCTTTATAGGGGATTTTTTGCCTTCCTATGGATCAACAGTGGGTAACTGTGGGCATAGCGTTCTGTTTTAGGTTTTCCTTTATTTTTTTTCTCTCATCTCTAAAGGCTGAACTCGATGGACTTTTTCAACCTATGTAACTATGACTCATTTAATGCTTTTCTATAACTGAAAGTCATTCAGCAGCATCTAGGTTAATTCAGTCTGGAAGCATGTCCCCTAACTAGAAATTTCTGCATTCTAGGTCTGTTTAGCCCAGTTTTCTGCAGTTAAAGGCACCTAAATGAAACTAAGCCCGTCAAAAACTAACCACAGGAAAAATTGGTCTGGAAAGCATAAAGATGTTTATACTTACCAGGTAACGTCTCTTGTGTTTAAACGCAGCTGACTAGTGTGCATGAGGTCTTAGGCCCCGTTCACATTGCGCGATTCGCATTTTGCGCAATATCGCGCGATTTGCCGCGCGATATTGCGCAAATGCTTGCATTGAGCAAGCTAGAATCGCGGCAAAATCCGCTCCAAAAAGGGTCCTGCTGTAGCGACACACGACCCGTGACAGCAGGACCCTTTGCCCCATTGAGATGCATTGAAGAGCAATATCGCGCGGTAAATAGCCGCGATATCGCTGGAATTACCGCGCGATAAATCGCTCAATGTGAACGGGACCTAAGAGACAGATGACCGCCTCTGGATACAAGCAGCTATGGGCAAGGCCAGGTGGCGCAATTTTGCACTTTGCCTCAGGCAACAAAAAGGCAAGGAACACCCCTAGATAGGGGGAAAAGGAAGGGAAATCTCTCCCATCTCGGTGATCAAGCCGGTGTTGGGTGAAATGCATTAGAGAGGCAGTCCCAGGCTGGGCTGCAGTGTGTTATGTCCAATGTCAATAAAAGTGAACAAGGTCTGACATCATCGGCGCATGGATTTCTGTTCTGCTAAGCTCTGATATGTGATTTAAGGTGGGATGGCAGCTTTATTATTCTGTGCTGTGCAACTTCCTTTTTCTATCAGAGACGGTAAGGGCACTAAGGAATAAAGAGAACCTACATTGCACATTTGTGGTGCAGAAGGTTGTGTTCCCAGAAAAACCAGATAAACAAGGTTATATGCAGTTATGTTGCCTGGTGCACTACAGCTTTGTCTGCAAGAAAATTAAATTACTTAGCAAGAACACTGCGCATCTGTATGCATTTCAGGGTCAATATGCATTTCAAGCCTTAAAAAACCTTAACATAAGCCTGTCACTAGTATAACTGAACAAAACACCCTGCAACACTAAACCACAGGTATCAAGTGGTAATTGGACATCTTCAAGAGCAACCCATATGCACTAAAGCCCAGGGCATGATAATATGCAAATTTCCAAACATTCCAGTAGTGTTGAGAACCCCCCTGCTTCCTATTCTTCCATGTGGCCTATCTATATGATGAGCAGCAGTACTGACCATTAGAAAGGTGTGGAGGGCCAGCTATCAGCCTTACCAGAGAAAAAAAAAACTATGAAAATGCCACAGTGTTCTGGGCGCTCAGTGTGCTCTAGAAAACATATAAAGGTTTAAGCAGGTACCATTGGGGTGCTGCAATCAGTATAGTACTGACAGGCATAATTTGACTTAGGTTTTGCAGAGTTTTTCAAAACATTGAGTAAATGGAAAATACAGCAAAAGGGTATAACCTTGAAAGTAAAAAAGGCTTTCTTTATATATCAAAGATTTCTTATTTTAAGTGCCATCCAATATAAAAAAAATCCTATATATGTATAGATAAAAAAAGCTGTGGAGATCTGAATAAAGCTTTTGAATCTATGCATATACTGTATACAATTTTTAATTCTCAGTGGCAATTAAAAAAAAAAAAATGATATTTTTGATATATAAAGAAACCCTTTTCTTGTTTGATTTATACAGCCTTTTTGTTTACTTGTCTGTATGTTGTTTTGGAGGATATCCAAAGTTTTCAAGGGTATACACCTTTTTGCTAAGTTTTTTAAGTCAGGATATAACTCAGTTTATTTGTTTTTTTTCTTTTTCCTCCCTCCCTCTTTAGTTTTCCCCCTTTTCTGTTAGTCTTTAGGTATATATTTTAAATATACCCGATAGCTTCTACTGTCAATGAACCAAGATGACTGGTAATTACTTTGCACTAACATTTTTTTTTTTTATTGCAGGGAATGCAAGAAATTACCCATACTTGTATATTTTCCCCTAAGGGCACTCTGCTGCTAATTGGATCCATGGGATTTTATGAATCAGATTGAAGCATGTTATGAAGGGATGTGAAGCCAATCTTTTAGTTACAATGCACACTACCCCTGAATTTCTGGTTCAGAGAACATAGACTTTAGGATCAGGCAGCAGTCTTAAATGTGATTCTACTTTTAAAAAATGCAATCTAGCTGCATTTAGGAAACATAAGTGCTTTGCTTTCTAAAAAACAAAATTGGAACACATGTATAAAGTTTAAGGTTAACCAATGCTTTGCTTATGCAGTTTAGAATCAATGTCCAGCATAGGCTTGCCTACCTGTCATTGCACGTAGGTGCCCTGCATGGGCAAATCGCAGGTTCTCATTAAACTTTGTATAGAGCAGTTAGAATTTCTGTCACCTTCTTTTTAGCTGTTATCCCACTTTGGAGAGCAATTATTCTATTTGTCCTGGTGACACTGAAACTGAGGAGTTATCCAAAATTTGCACAGGTATAGATGGGAAATTAACCAGTGTGGCTACTGGTTTCAGTGACAACTGTGTAACAGGGGCTTTCCTTGATTTTGGAAATATTTCCTCTCACTTCCTGTTGTGCATAAGGGACAGGAAGTAAAGGGATCTCTCACCAGCGAGACACAGATGGTAAAAAAAGAACAATTAACTCCCCATCTACTTAACGCAGCTAAATCCTCATTGCACTGAAAATTCCCCTTTAATCCCCTTATTAAAGATTGGTTAATTAAAATTGGCTATTTATGACTAATGGAAGAGTTGACCCACTCCGTACATGATTGCTCAGGTAAATTTGAAGCAATCTGATGCCCTTGGCTCGAGTTTAAGGAACAATCGCTTTATTTGCAAATTATATCCTATCCTTGCCCCTGGGATATGTTGTTTGATCTTGACTTGCGTTTTTAAAATGACTGGGGATGCAACTTGTATGTTTTCTACGGCTTGTTACATTATGGGGTTCTGTGTCCAGCCTATTTCTTATTTCTCCCTTCTTGCTTTTTCTTCCTGCTTCTCCTGGCCTTTTCTTCTTCTATTACCCCACCCCCCTCTACATAAATTCACATTCGACACTTCTTGATCATAACGATGTTATCCATCTTTGCTTTTAATTAACACCTCTTAAAGAAATGGCTTTACTACTGTGAACCGGGCTTGATTATTTTACTTGTATCAACAACTTTTTTAATACGTTTTGTATGTGAAAATCTTTAATAAACTTTGAATAACATTAAAAAAAGAACAAAGGTTTTACACATTCCTCAAAATGTTTTGATTTAGATGAGCAATCCTGATTCCATTCCTGCTTCCTTCTCCAGCTTTATAATTATTGTATACTGTAAATAAGCTCAATCTGTAGTTCGCACTAATGAGGGCAGTGATCTATGGTCTGATGAGGCACTGCAGCACTTCGGAATGTGGCACATGCACAGGAAGTAGTAAAATCTCTTGTAACATGTACCGGAAGATGACATGATGTAAACTGGATATTGTAATGTGTATGCACTGGGCTGACAGTAAAAAAAAACTATATTGTTATTGTGTTTCACTTGGCATGCGTTGAATGGAAATCACTGAATCACTGTTCTGGCCCTGAGAAGATATAGAAGTGCAAACTATAAATAAAAGCAATTGTCACTTCACACATTTTTTTTGTTATAGTGCAGGCACCCACATTTACAGTATATAATACAGATGCTGTAGGAGGGGAGGTGGTAGTAGAATTGCATAGTAGACTTAAAATTCTCCATTAATGTTAAAGTGGACTTGATAAACTAACAATTAAGGTTAGAAATATGCCATATACTTCCCCATTTACACAAAGTGCTATGAATACTGTATTGTCTTCCTCATTCCTTCCTCAAAGTGTATTAGTTATTTTATATTAAACCTCCATTATAATATTTAAAGAGCCTTTACATCTTTTGTATTATTAATTATATATGTTTACAATACACTCACACTTCTGCTTTATAGAGTATGATGATACTAAATAAAAGAAAAAATGACTGCACATGTATGTATTGACATGGACCTGCACTACTGTGGTGGAGCATCCGGCCAACAAGAGTGTCAAGTGTAACACTTTGTTTATGTCAAGAGTGATAGAAATGGATAGGTAGCTTGCGATGTAAAAGTAGCAATGTTGTTGGATTTATAGATAAAGACCGATACCACACCCCAATGAAAAGTCAAGTCACAGTCAAAAAATTACAATAGTGGTTTGTTTTTTTAGGTATCGGTAAGAGAACTCATATTGGATAAATAAAAAAGCAAAATGTATTCACTAGTAGTGGCCACAGAGCCTCTAAGTGTATTGACCAGTAATTTGGGTTGCTCCACTGCAGTCAATGATCAGCTATTGTTTGCTCCATATGCCAAAAATGAAGTTCTTCTGTGTTTGTTCAAATCATTGTTTGGACCTAGTATAAAAATAATGAATGTTTATGTGTAACAGAATTGAATAGAATGATATCCAATATCTGTTGTATAATATTTCAGATTTATCTGTGGTTTCTAAAGCGTGATAGCGAAACGCATTGAAAATGGCTTACAGTGAGACTAACTAAACCAAAGAAGATATGAAATTGATGTACTTTTTGTATTTCTTGTAAATCTGGTTATACTAGGGCACTGATTCACTATAATGTGAAGCAATCACATTTATGTAGCTTCTAACTCCATGGCAGAGAATGTCCCATCCACAATTAATTGAGCTGGTGGGTGTTAGTGACAGTTCTGTGCAGGTTTGGGCGAACTCCGATGAACTGGGTTTGCACCAAGCCTCCAAACATCATTGGAACATAATTAATCACCTGGGCAATCAACTGTAGGCATATCAATTATAAACCATAAAATATAGCTGCAAGCAGCAATAAAGGTGGCCAAGCAGTAGAGCCGGTCATAGCGCATGAGAAGATATTGTAGTTGGAGAGAAAAAAAATACATGATTTTATGAATTATAAAAAAATTCAAATTCAAAATGGCCGCCGACCTTGGTGAACTCTGGAAGCCAAATTGTATTTGGCAGTTATGACGTTGAGTTATCATATGTATAACAAGTTTAACATACTTCACTAGTGATATAAATGCACATTTATGCAATTGGATGCAATGTCAAAAAGTGATTGGCTTGTGGCAGCCATATTGATTTTGGGATGGGGCCTGGTTTTACAACCGTGGTAGTAGAGGTCGCCCTGGATATATGTGGAAAGTTTTATGTTATTCTGATAAATGGTTTTAGAGTTTAAGCTGTTTGCAGAATACTGCACAATCCAAAATGGCTGCCAAACCATGGGGGTCACATGACTTGTAATAAACATATATAAGTGCAGAACTGAGCTTATCATCACCCAGAAATTTGTATATCTGTAGCCTTAGCGGTTATGAAAAAACAGATGGTTTACACAAACCTATTTTTGACAGTTTTCAAACAAGATGGCCGCCAGAGCATGCGACCTATGACCTTTATGTTGACAAAGATTAAACACAACACCGTTCTTTACCATTGGGCCAAATTTCATGAGTTTTTACATAACAGTGTGGCAATAATTAGCATTTGAAAAAAGAAGCATCAAAATTATAGAAATATTTATCAAATTTGACACAATTCAATATGGCCACCAAAACATGTGACCAATTGACTTGTAATGATCAGTTATGAGTATAAGGCTCACCATAACTTCAAGCAGCAATTTGTAGATCTGTAGCTTTACTAGTTCCTGAGAAACAGATGTTTGAATATGCAGCTGAATATAATCAACTAAAACAAGATGGCTGCCAGGCAATGTGTCCTATGACCTTTATGTTGCAGAAGATTAGGCATAGCACAGAGGTCTACCATTGGGCCAAGTTGCATCAGTTATTGAGTAACAGTGTGCCAATTAGAGGCTTTTGAAAAAAAGGCCATAAAAATAATTACACTATCTAAACATGATTGGCTTGCACCGGCCATTTTGATTGTGGGATCGGGCCAGTTTCTACAACCGTGGCAGAAGAGGTCGGCCTGGACATATGTGCAAAGTTTGGAGTTATTCTGATATATGGTTTCAGACTTTAAGTTGTTGGCAGAATATTGCACAATCCAAAATGGCGGCCAAACAATGTGACCAATAGAGCTATAATGAGCACATGTGGCAACAGAGCAAAGCATAAGCTCACAGAGCAAGTTGAACATCTGTAGCTTTAGCGGTTCTGGAGATGCAGGTTTCTGAATAGTTCACAAAAATCATCACAAAAACCAAGATGGCTGCCACATCATGTGACCTATGACCTTTATATTATAATACGCTCTGCAGAGTGCAGGGCTGTACCACTGTGCAAAGTTTCATGAGTTTTTGAATTACTGAGCTCTTGTTGCAGGCATTTGAATAAAGCGGCAAAATAATAATAAAAATAATAATAATAATCAGCACAATAACAAGGTGTCCTTGCAACTTGGTTGCTTGGCCACCTAATAATAATAATCTTACTAATAACAATAGGTGTCCTTGCAACTTCATTGCTTGGCCACCTAATTAGCAATCACAAGCTATGCTAATAGAAAGTAGTTCAGCTATAGAAATTAAACCTTGTATCTAAATATTTACCCCAAATTT